AGCCTGGGTAACATACCAAGACCTTGCTGGGGGGGAAAAGGGAAAGAAAAAAATTAAATAAAAACAGAAATGAGACTGGGTATGGTGGCTCACACGTGTAAACCAAGCACTTTGGGAGGCTGAGGCAGGAGGATTGCTTGAGCCCAGGAGTTGAGATCAGCCTGGACAACATAGAGAGAACTCATCTCTACAAAAATTAAATATATTAGCCAGGCATGGTGGCACATTACTTGAGAGGCTGAGGTGGGAAGATCACCTGAGTCGAGGAGGTCCAGGCTGTGGTGAGTTGTGATCATGTCACTGCACTCCAGCTTGGGTGACAGAGTAAGACTCTGACTCAAAATTAAAAAATGAAAGAATGGAAACAAGCGTTTCCACAAAGATAAAATTTGCTCTTTTAGGTTCTTAGAAAATACTAATAAACATGATTTTTTAAAACTGATCAGGAAAAAAGTATGAAAAGCAGTATTAGAAATAAATCAGGCCGGGCTTGGTGGCTCAGCCTGTAATCCCAGCACTTTGGGAGGCCGAGGTGAGTGGATTGTCTGAGCCCGCGGGTTTGAGACCTGCCTGGCCAACTTGGCGAGACCTCATCTCTACAATAAATCAAAAATTAGTCGGGCGTGGTAGCGTGCGCCTGTAGTTCCAGCTACTTGGAAGACTGAGGCGGAAGGATCGCCGGAGCCCAGTAGGTCGAGGCTGCCACTGCACTCCAGTCTGGGCGACAGAATGAGACTCCAACTCAAAAAAAAAAGAAAGAAAGAAATCAGGGGGACATCATAATACATGCAGCAAAAATTAAGGCAAGAGCATATTGTGGGCAACTTTTTGCCAACACATTTGACATTTTATGATAAAATCGATAGATTTCTACAAAAATATAACCCACTAGGATCAACCCAGAAGAAGCAGACAATAAAAAACTGTATCGGTAATTAGAAACTGTCCCACAAAGAAGAATTATAAAACATTTGAGGAATGGTTAATTTTCTCTTGCACATTTTATCTCAGAAAAAAAGAGTAAACGCTCCAACATTCATAAGTAAGGCACAGTAGAACAGACAAGAAAGGACATTTTCAATGAAAAATCTTAAGCAAAATGTTAACAAAACAAATTCAGTTGTGCATAAAAAAGTAATACAGCCCAGTCTAGATGAGTTTGCTCCAGGAATGTTCATTGGGTTCAACGTAAGAAAACTGATTCATGTCACTTATCATATTAATGAATTAAAGGAAGCAGAAAAAATATTTAATGATATTCAATATCAAGTCAAGCTTAAAAAAAACAACCTCTTGGCAAAATAGGAAAATCCTTTAACCCAATCAATGGCATATTAAAATCATCCTTAATGAGAAAGCATTTGGAGCACTCTGTAATTGAGAACAAGATAAGGAAGCCCACAATGACTATTTCTACTCGACACAATGGAAGTCAGAACCAGCAGAATAATACAATGAAAGTAAACAAAAGGCACAAAGATTAAAAAAAGAAGAAACAAAACCACTATTGGCCGGGCGTGGTGGTTCAAGTCTATAATCCCAGCACTTTGGGAGGCTGAGGCAAAAGGATTGCTTGGGCCCAGGGGTTCAAGACCAGCCCGGGGAACTTGGCGAGATCTCGTCTCTACAATGTATCAAAAACACGCCCGTAGTTCCGGCTACTTGGAGGGCTAAGGCAGAAGGATCGCCTGAGCCCAGCAGGTCGACGCTGGAGTAGCCATGAGCATGCCACTGCTCTCCAACCTGGGTGAGAGTGAGACTCTGACTAAAAAAACCCAAAAAACAAAAAAACCAAAACACTGTTATGTGCTGGTGATATGACAGTTTCTGCAGAAAAAGCAAAATAGAAATAAGAAGATTGACTGGACACAGTGCCTCATTACTGTAGTCCTAGCGCTTTGGGAGTCAGAGGCAAGAGGATCACTTGAGCCCAGGAATTCCAGACCAGCCTGGGTAATGTAGCCAGACCCTGTCTCTACAAAAATTACAAAAATTAGCTGGGTGTGGTGGTGCACGCCTATAATCCCAGCTATTTAGGAGACTGGGGTAGGAGGATCACCTGAGCCCAGGAGGTCGAGGTTGCGCTCCAGCCTGGGTGACAGAGTGAGACTCCTACTAAAAAAGAAAGGCAAAAAAAAAAAAAGAAATAAAAAGATCATTTAGGCCAGGCTCGGTGGCTCAGCCTGTAATCCCACGCCTTTGGGAGGCTGAGGTGAGTGGATTGCCTGAGCCCGCGGGTTCGTGACCCGCCTGGGCAACTTGGCGAGAACTCATCTTTACAATAAATAAAAAAAATCAGCCGGGCGTGGTAGCGCACGCCTGTAATTCTGGCTACTTGGAAGGCTGAGGCGGAAGGATCCCCGGAGCCCAGCAGGTCGAGGCTGCGGTGGCCGAGAACGGCCACTGCACTCCAGTCTGGGTGACAGAGTGAGACTCCAACTCAAAAAAAAAAACAAAACAGACAGGCTATGGGTAAGCAGGTGAGCCTTGTGCTGTCATTCTTTACTCCGGACACTTAGAGGATACAAGGAAAGGCTCGGAAGGTAAAATACCAAGGCGTTAACAATAGTTGGATGGTGACGATGATTTTTTTGAGTCGGGGTCTCACTCTGTTGCCCAGGCTGGAGCGCAGAGGCATGATCACAGCTCACCATAGCCTTGACCTCCTGGGCTCAGGTGATCCTTCTGTCTCAGCCTCCAAAATGGCTGAAACTACAGGCGTACACCATCATGCTCGGCTAATTTTTGGATTTTCTTTTAGAGACGAGGTCTTGCTATGGTGCCCAGGCTGATCTCCAACTCCTGTGTTGAAGCAGTCCTCCCACCCTGGCCTCCCAAGGAGCTGGGATGTCAGGCTTGAGCCACTACACCTGGCCCAAGAACAGCAGAGTTCTTAAAATCTTCCCCCCCCACCCCCCCCAATTTGTATTTTCAGATATTTCTACAATGAGCATGAACAGCTTTTTTTTTCTTGAATTGGAGACTCACTCTGTTGCCCAGGCTGGAGTACAATGGCACACTCACGGCCACCGCAGCCTCGACCTGCTGGGCTCAGGCAATCCTTCTGCTTCAGCCTTCCAAATAGCTAGAACTAGAGACATGCATCACCATGCCCAACTAACGGGTTTATTTATTGTAGAGACGAGGTCTTGCCAAGTTGCCCAGACTGGTCTTGAACCTGTGGGCTCAGGTAATCTTCTCACCTCAGCCTCCCAAAGTGCTGGGATTACAGGCTTAAGCCACCGTGCCCGGCCTATTAAATAGCTTTTTTTTTTTGAGTCAGAGTCTCACTCTGTCGCCCAGGCTGGAGTGCAGTGGCACGCTCACAGTCACCACAGCCTCGACCTACTGGGTTCAGGTGATCCTTCTACCTCAGCCTTCCAAGTAGCTGGAACTACAGGCATGTGTCACCACACCCAGCTAATTTTTTTATTTATTGTAGAGTTGAGGTCTCGCCAAGTTGCCTGGACTGGTCTCGAACCCATGAGCTCAGGCAATCCTCTCATCTTGGCCTCCCAAAATGCTGGGATTACAGGTTTGAGTCACTGTGCCCGGCCTCTGAACAGCTTTTATAATAACAGGACATAAAAGTAATTTCATTAAAAAAAATCTTTAAATGAACAAAAATTAGTCTAGTTTTACAATTAGGATAATAAAAATTGATAAAGAATGCATACATTTATACTACATACATAATACATATTTAGCACAAAAGTATGCAGCACATGTATAAATATATATTAAGAACACAGACACTTATTTTACCTCATTTAATTGAAAATAATAAACTCATTTAATAGAAAATAAACTTTGAGTCACTCTAACTTATTTTAATTCAATAGTATTTTAAATATTTTGAGGAGTTGGCTATTTAATGGGAATTTACAGTGAATTCATGCTCATTATGGCAACTATCAGCATATTAATATGTCTTTTGGTTAAAGTAGATAGCCCCACTTTGAGATCAAAGATATTAAGACTATGAATTTCTATGTTTAAGAGACAGGTGTCTTGCTATGTTGCCCAGGCTAACCTCGAACTCCTGGGCTCAATGATCCTCCCACCTCAGCCTTCCTAGCAACTAAAACTACAGGCTTGCACCACCACACCCAGCCAGAATGTGTATTTTAATGTATCCAATAATTTTAGATATAAGCACACTAAGATATACCTAGTCTTTAAGCAAGGAGCTTGGCAGAGTTGGGCAAATCACAATTCACGCTATTTCCCAACTAAATGCATCCCTGACGAATCTGGCAAAAACAAACGAGTTCTATGCGAACACAGGGTTTTTACCCACATAGAGCGTGAGGCTGTGAATACCCAACAAGCCCTGGACAGAAATGAATGAATCCCGTTACATAACTGCTTGATTCTGTTGACACTGTGTTGATGGTTTTTCTAAAAAGAAAATTCAGCTTCTAAGGGAAAAACACATATTGGACCACACAGAGACACAGTACAAGCTTTATCCTATTCTTAACTGCCAAGACAAGTCCATTTAGAGAAGAGCTTTCGAGAGACCGGACACAGGCACTCCCACCACCCTCCCTGTTATCAACCCGAAGGAATCCATTAGACAGAGGCCAGGGGAGCAGGCGAGGTATCGTTTTTTAAAGGAAGCGCTGTAAGCAGTCGAGCTGATCCAGATGGCCTGAAGTGTCTCCTCTGGCTCTCAAGAAAACGACTTCCTCTTTGAAAAGCCATTAAGAAAGAGCCACAACCTCCCCAACCCGCTCAGGGTCTAGGTCTCTCTGTTTCCATCCTGGTGACAGAACAAATAAGCCCCTCAGTTCTCAACCCTGAGGACTGCCCCCCCCCCCCAGGATTGGCTTCCCGGCAGCAGTGGACGCAAAACGGCAGAGGACACAAGACCAAGATGGAACCGAACCCCAGTGGAGTGCCCTTTGTGGCCACTTCAGAAGGGGGAAGTTGGGGGCGGACAGGTTGTGACACTCACTCACTGGGGAAGTGAGAGGCAGACTGCACTTTCACCTCACCTTTTCCACATCCGCTTTGGTGACATTGATGTCAGCATCCATCTTCTCAAAGTACTGCTGCGCCCTGTCAGCCTCCTTGCAATCTCGCTCGAATCGTCTTTTGCTCTAAAATCAGAGGAAAACAATTATGTACAAAACCCTGAGATTCCTATGAGAAGAATATAATTTCACCTACATCCCCCAAGGACCAGACATCTCTGAAATGACTTGCTATTTCGTAATTTCTGGAAACTGTTGGAGAATCTGCATTTACTGCCATCAAAACTGCCTAATCTTTGTCCTTTCCAGAGGACCTTTCTTTTTTTTTTAATTTAAAAAAATGTTTAAATTTGAATTAGAGTCTCCCTCTGTTGCCCAGCCTGGAGAGCAGCGGCACGATCACAGCTTACCACAGCCTCAACCTCCTGGGCTCAGGTGATCCTCCCGGATCAGCCACCTGAGAAGCTAGGACTACAGGCACACACCACCATGCCCGGCTAATTTTTTTTTTTAGTTTTTGTAGAGATGAGGTCTCCCTTTGCTGCCCAGGCTGGTCTCAGACTCCTGAGTTCAAGAAACCCCTCCTGCTTCAGCTTTCCAAAGTGCTGGGATTACAGGTGTCAGTCACAGCACCCGGCCTCCCATACAACATTGTAAAACATATTCCACTTGAGCTCTTTGGCTCAATATTTAACTTTTAGATGATGGTTCTAGAAACAAATAAAATCCAAATGAGAAAAATCTATAAAGACACTTCTTTAGTGTTTTGGTTTGCGTGTTTTTAATTTACTGATTGATTTAAGCTTAAATTAAATTCAAATTAGAAAATCTGTAAAGATATTTCTTGAGTCATGTGTTGTTCACTTACCGATTCAAGTTGCTTCCAACAAGTCTCTATGTGTTGCTGTGCCTTACGGCCATCGTGAAAATTCTGGAAAGGAGAAGGCATACCAGCAATTAGTAATCCCTATTTCTCATATGAACACAGGAGAAAAAAATGGTAACCACTTAAAAAACATTTAAATATTGAACTCCAAGGAAATTTGAGAGTTAGGCGGGCAAGGTGGGAAACCGAGGCAGGAGGATTACTTGAGCCCACAAGTTCAAGACCAGCCTGGGCAACATAGTGAGATCCTGTCTCTACAAAAAAACCAAAAATTATCTGGGCGTGGTGGTGCCAGCTACTCAGGAGGCAGAGAAGGAAGGACTGTCTGAGCCCAAGAGACTAAGGCTGTGGTGGTGCAAGCGTGCCACTGCACACCAGCCTGGGTGGCAGAGTGAGACTCTGACTTAAAAAAAAAAAGAATATATATGTGTGTGTGTATGTGTGTGTATATATATATGTGTGTGTATATGTATATATGTTTACAGATATGTAATTCGAAGATATATATGCCACCTGTAAAGATGACAAGAATGTTTTATTAAAACAGCAAAATTCCTTCAATCATCTTTACCTGCTTTAAGATATTATTCACATACTATACATTTAATTGTATAATATAGCAGAGTCACAAAACGGTGCAATCAACACCATAGCCAATTTTCGAATATTTTCTAAATATTTTTCCAGGTGTGGTGGGATTTCACCTCAAAAAGAAGCCTCTTAGTCCTGATTGTCCTCCTCGGAACTCCCCATCTGTCCCAGCCTGAGGCACCTATCATTTTACTTTCCATCTCTATGAATTTGCTTATTCCGGAAGTTTCATAAGAATGGAATCAGGTTGGGCACAGCGGCTCAAGCCTGTAATTGCAGCACGTTGGGAGGGTAAGGCAAGAGGATTGCCTGAGCTCAGGGGCTCGAGACGAGCCCGGGCAACTTGGTGAGACCTCATCTCTACAATAAATAAATTTTTAAAATAAGCTGGGTGTGGTGACGTGTGCCTGTAGTTCCAGCTACTTGGAAGGCTGAGGTGGAAGGATCGTCTGAGCCCAGCAGGTCGAGGCTGCAGTGGCCGTGAGCATGCCACTGCACTCCAGCCTGGGCCACAGAGTAAGACTCCAACTCAGAAGAAAAAAAAAAGAATGGAATCACACAGTATGAGGACTTTTGTGACTGACACATTCTCATTATCTCATGATGTTCACCGAGTATGATGTTTGCAAGTTTCATCCGTATTGTCACTCGTATTGGTACTTTACCCCTTTCCATTGCTGAATTTGTATTCCCTTACGTGGCTATAGATAACGACTGTTTCCTATTTCTCAGCTGATGGACATCTGGGTTGTTCCCAGGCTTAGCTCCCAGGAATAATGCTGCCATGAACATTTGTGTAAGAGTTTTGTGTGGATGAATGCTTTTATCACTCAGATCTTTTTGAAAGTAAATGTAAATTCACCTCCTTAGCTGGGCATGGTGGCTCATACCTGTGATCCCAACACTTTGGCAGGCTGAGACAGGAGGATTGCATGAGCCCAGGAGTTCGAGCCCAATCAGGGCAAGGCAACATAGCAAGACCTCATCTCTACAAAAAAAATTAGCCAAGCAGGAGGGTCGCCTGAGCCCAGGAGGCCGAAGCTGTGGGGACAGGCCCTTTACTCTGTCCTTAGGTCCTTTTCTTTTCTTTAGAGACGAGGTCTCACTATGTCACCCAGGCTGGCCTCAAACTCAAGGGCTCTAGCAATCTCCCACCTCAGACTCCCTAAATGCTGGGATTACAGGCGTGAGCCGCCGCACCCGGCCAACGGGCCCCAGTTGCTGTGGCGGAAGTTGTGGCGCCGTTCAGGACTTTTCTCCTTCCTCTTCCACTGCATCTCTCATCTATGATCAAGTCCTGTGGGCTCTGCCTTCAGTCCATGTTCTGAATCGACACGCTTCCCAGCACGTGCTCCTTGCTTGTCCCTGGTTCCTCGTTCCTCTTCGCCCCTCACCGGAGAACCGCCCAGGGCCTCCTCATTCATCCTGCTCCCACGCCGGCCCCGTGGTCGGCGGCCCAGCCACCCATCTCCGAGCTGCCGCCAGCCCCTCTTAGAGAGGTACACGGACAGCAGCTCGCCCCGGCCCCAACTACTCTGGTCCTGTTCCTTCAGTCCACTCCCCACGTGGCAGCCGGCTGGCCCTCAGAATAACGCACACTGGACCAGGCCCCTTCCCTCCGTAAGTCTTCCAGCAGCTTTCCATCATTCTCGCGTGCTGGGAGGCCATCCACCGTCACAGCCCTGCCTGCTTCTCCTGCCTTCACCGCTGGCTAATGGTGCTGGCATCTGGCTGTCCCCTGAATAGGCCGAAACCCCGTCACACTCAGAACGTCTGCATTTCCTCTTCCTGCTGCTTGGAAGGGTGTGTCCCAGATCTTTGCATGTTCACTCCTATATTTTATTCAAGTTTGAACTCAAATGTCATCCCAGGCTGCACCATCTAAAACAGACCCAGGCCAGGCACAGCAGCTCACACCTGTCATCACAGCACTTTCGGGGAGGCTGAGGAGGGAGGCTCACTTGAGGCTAGGAGTTTGAGACCAGGCATCATAACCAGACGCAGTGGCTCACGTCTGTAATCTCAGTACTTTGAGGGGCCGAGGCAGGAGGACTGCTTGAGCCCAGGAGTTCAAGACCAGCCTGGGCAACACAGCGAGACCTCGTCTCTACAAAAAAAAAAGAGCCAGGCATGGTGGCACGTGCCTATAGCCCCAGTTACTAGGGAAGCTGAGGTGGAAGGATTGCTTGAGCCCAGCAATGAGCTGTGATCACACCACTGCACTCCAGCCTAGGTAAAAGAGTGAGATCCCGACTCAAAAAGAAAAAAAGTAGACTGTCTAATACATACTTGGATGCCTGAGTTTGAGTCCAGGGAGGGGTCAGCACTAAAGATGAGCTTGGTGTCAGCAGCATAAAGTAAGTAGGCTAAAGCCAGAGACCAAGGAAGACAAAGACCCCAAGGAAGGAAATGCCAGAAATACACAGAAATGTTAAGTAGACGATGTCTTTTCAGAATAAGGTTCCTGAATAAGAGACCTAAAATCACCAGTTCCCTAAACCTTGTAATATCCTCCCACTGCCCAGGTGTGGTGGTTTAGGAGAGAGAATTGCCTGAGCCCAAGGCTTCGAGACCAGCCCAGGCAACTTGGCAAGACCTCGTCTCTACAATAAATAAAAAATTAGCCAGGTGTGGTAGCACACACCTGTAGTTCCACCTACTTAGAAAGCTGAGGCAGAAGGAAGGATCACCGGAGCCCAGGAGGTCGACACTGGGGTGGCTGTGAGTGTGCCACTGCACTCTGGCCTGCGTGACGGAGTGAGACTCCTACTCAAAAAAAAAAAAAAAAAAAAATACTCCTACTGCATCATCATGGATTGGGGCCACGCACTGGACTTGTACAAGGTCCACCCTCCACCGAGTTCTGTGTCCTCAGTGGTTGACGTGCGTGGCTCTGGGAGCAGGCTCCCCTGCCTTCCGGTTCTCACCGGATTTGCCACAGGGAGCTCCTGGCCTAACAGAGGGCAGGACTTTCATCCACAGTTCTCCCTTGCTGAGATGGTACAGGTTGGCTGGGTCCCTCTCCCCAAGGCCATAGCCTTGGTCAGGCAGCTCCTGCATACAGCCAACCTGTCACACATTCTGGACTCAATGACATTGCCAGCCCTTTGAGGCCAGGCACAGTAGCAGTTCCCACTGTGATCAGCCCCAGGGTAGCACACCAACCCTTACTGCCTTTCCTGAATCCAACCCACATAAACGCTTCTTTTAATAAAGAGCCTTCCTTCGATGACCGGGTTTGAATGTGCTGTCTGTTTCCTGGCTGACAAGGTAAGCATTGGTGGTAGGTCGGGTATAAAAAGGATAGAAATGAAGAGGTCCCATAAGTACTGTCTCCAAGCTTTTTGCGTACCTTGTCAGAACCTTTGACTTAGTCTGGTCGTTAAAGATAGCTCACTACTAAGCCGCCTCGGTGGCTCAGTCTGTAATCCCACGCCTTGGGAGGCTGAGGTGAGTGGATTGCCTGAGCCCGCAGGTTCGAGACCCACCTTCTTGGTGAGACCTCATCTCTACAATAAATCAAAAATTAGCCAGGCGTGGTAGCATGTGCCTGTAGTTCCAGCTACTCGGAAGTCTGAGGCGGAAGGATTGCCAGAGCCCAGCAGGTCGAGGCTGCGGTGGCCAGGAGCAGCCACTGCCCTCCAA